AAAGATACCGATGACATTATATAATAAAAGTGTTTTTAGATTTTTGATTGTGCTTTTAAATTCTGAGTAATTTTAATCTAAAGTTTCAAGATGTGAAAACTCGAGATAAAGCTAGTGGTAGCGTCGTGAATTTGACATCGACATGAACATATACACGCATCAAGTATCATGTCATCATGTCAAACGGTTATATTTTTATTTTATGCACTTGGCGTCGCGACGCTACCGCGTCGCTTGATATCATATGTTAATTTTAAAACTATGATTGTTAATAACTTTTTAACGAAGGACGAGCGACGGCTAAAACCTGTTGGAGGTTACTCAGGGTTGTATCCTTGAGAACATATGTCAAGGTCAAGGTCATTGTGGAGAGTTCCCTGATCTAAAGATTTACCGGTTTCACTGCTGTTAAAAATAACTTCTACGCTTAATATCTCGAAAATTATAAGAGTCCGCCGCCTAGTTGTTAAGGCAAAGTTACTCAGAATCATGACCTTGACAATATATGTCAAGGTCAAGGTCATCGGTGAGGTGTCCTCTAATCTAAATAATTACCGTCTTTTGTTGCCCAAATTATTATAATCAATAACAAATTCACTTGCGTTTAAAGATACACACAGTGTGCCTTCCAACAAGCCACACAGTATAACACAATGATTATCTTATCCTTATTTAACATTCACGAACAACAAAGATGTACTGATACTCTGTCATACCGTGTCATCTGTGTCGCTTGTTGGAAGGCCCAGTTTTTATGTGCGAATTAAGTTATTAGAGTTTAATATTTTTTCTACAAGCCTGATTTTTCATAGTTTTCTCTTCAAATAAATTCTAAATCCGATGAAAATTCGATTTAGTATCAAAATTACTATAACTTTAAGCCCATATCGATTGCTGGTTTCATTAATCGTTGGTTGAACTTATGTAAACTCTGAATGTAAAAAATATTTTAGATATATTTGCAAAGATTTATATTCAATATAATTCTTTAATGAATCGGTAATTTACTCACAAGTAGAGGCTACGCTCTGCTCTTCACCGATTTTGATCAAACTTGCAGCGATGTTAGAGGAGCCTATCAAATGAACACTTGTAAAACCGTTCGCGCCAATGGGCCTTAGAAGCCGAGTAATGATCATTTAAAAATATAAGGTGGTTGGCCCATTAATCGTCAGGGTACCAGTAATCGCCATGTTGACATATTAAAGACGTATTTTAATTTGTTCTGTTTATTGTGCGGCTGGTTAATATTTTTTTTTATTCCAACAAGGTATGTACAATGTTGTGTTACATTATGAAATTCGTAAGTATATGTATTCACTACAGATTAAATCAAATATGTGCAGCAACCGAGCCTATGCGTCATTTCGATCCAATGCTTCTTTTTAAGGTTAAGAGGCACCATTTGACATCTCGTGTAATTTTGGAATTCTTACCACTTGCACTCGTATGAGATAAATTGAGCTTCAAGTTTTATTTAAATCAAAATCGCAGTTTTACGTATACCATCATAAATTCTTGTTTTATACAAATTTCATATTTTTTTTACGTGAAGAGCATCGGTTCATCAAAGCACATAGTTGTTCGAGTAATAGTCACACATGTCGATTACTGAGACTAGGTGAGCCGCAAAAATCTTGTAAATAAAATAATAATTTTATCCAAAATCCAAATAGCAAAATTAGAACCGTAATTGTTATTATCTAAATATTTTACGGACCAGTAATCGTCATGGGCATAGTCGAGTAAATAAATAGATATTCAAACAAATAAAGGATGTCGATCATTGAATCATTTCTATGTCGATAACTGGGTACGTCTTTTTTCTCGTTATCAATAGAGATGGCTCCAACTCTAAAATATACAGCGGACCAAATGAGAGAAGCTTTGAAAGCGGTGAAAGAGGAAGGCATATCTGTACGCTCTGCTAGCATGAAGTACAAAGTACCTCGAACTACATTAACTGATAAATTGAAAAATAAAACACCAGAGGAGTGCAAAATGGGACCAGAGACTGTTCTGTCGGTTATCGAGGAAGAGCAACTAATCAGATGGATCATCGCACAAGGAAAAGTTGGATTTCCAGTTACGAAGGATCAGTTACTAGACAGTGTAAAAATGCTGGTCACCAAAATTAGAAAAGAAACGCCTTTCACTAACAACAGACCCGGGAGACACTGGTACCAAGCATTTATGCGACAGCATCCCGAGATTTCGACACGAGTACCGCAGAATTTATCTAAAGCTAGAGCTTCAGTAACAGAAGAGAAAATAAGGAATTGGTTCAAGGAGATACAACTATATTATGAAGAAAACAATATCATCGATGTTATCAACGATCCACGACGAATCTTTAATTGTGATGAAACCGCTTTTTTTCTCAGCCCAAAGGGAAACCGGGTTTTGGTACAGAAAGGTGAAAAAGCAATGTACAATTTTATCAACAGCAACGAAAAAGAGTGTATTACTACGTTGATAACAGGAAATGCTGCAGGCGAATTGGCTCCGCCAATGATAATGATTAGCTGCAAGCAAATGCCAGCATGTATAGTAGCTGCTATGCCAGAATCGTGGGGACTGGGCAAATCTGACAACGGATGGATGACGGAGAGTTTTTATGAATTTGTTGCAAATATCTTTTATCCTTGGTTACTTGTTGAAAAGATTCCTTTGCCAGTTGTTTTGTATGTCGACGGCCACACGTCTCATATAACGATGGCTCTCAGTGACTTCTGTTCGCTTAATCAGATCGTTTTAGTGGCTTTGTATCCAAACTCGACTCATATACTTCAGTCTATGGATGTGGCAATGTTCCGTCCTTTAAAACAAGCGTGGAAGAATGTAATTCATGCCTGGAGAATAGATCACAATGCAGCAGTGCTGAAACGAGAAACGTTTCCTCCTCTGTTAAAAAAAGCTATTAATTCTATAGATTCAACGAAAAATCTGCAAAACGGCTTTCGAACGTGCGGTCTCTTTCCTTTCAATTCAGATGCCTTAAGTTATTCCAAATTGCTCGGAACTGATTCACAACCAACGGTTGGTAACAGAGCTTATAATGAAGAATTACATCAAGCCAAGGAACATTTGCGATATTTCGAGAGTCAACAGCCCTTGGAAAAGATTGAAATTTTTGAGAAATCAGGCGATACATGGAACGGACTTGCCAAAGATCTTAATGTCTTTAATTATTGGCTCTCATTGAAAAGGAAAGCTGAAGAAATATTCAGCATTTTGTCACTGAGTATCAGCGAAACCAGAGAAATACTAAACATATATAACAACGATACAAACTCAAACGTCCAATCGAACACTACAATTTTAACAGTACCGACTATGAGTGATAACACGACGAATCTGCAAAATAATATCTCCAATCTTGGTCAAGATATTCATTCGTTTGTAATCGACCAAGTCGATACAGATTCAATCGAGATAATAAATCACGAAAAATTCATGGCGATGGACAATTTTAACTTTGAAGAAACATTTATTAACTACGAAAGCAATGACATCGTTCAATGTCCCAAAATCGGGAAAAGTTAAGTCTACGAAAACTCTATTTCTTGTAACATCTCTGACAATTCAAAAAGTCACAGCGATCAAGGAATTGGAGATGCGCATGACGAAAATAAACCATCTTCAATTGTAGTCACAGAGATTAGTGTTGCCACAACAAATTATATGGAAGAATCTGCCAACGAAGTGGTTGAAGAAAAAATTCATTCGATAAGCTTGCCAAGTACAGAATGCGTCGCTAAAGAAATCGGAGATGGTCAAAAAGACATTCTTAAATCTCCTATTGATATTAACGATACTAGCATTACACAAACAGACAAAATAGACAACATCCAACGGCAAAAAACAAAGCCCACTGTGTTATTTATACCGTCAGTATTCAAAGAAACTTTATTTTGGCCATCGACGCTCCAAGAAGTGAATTCCAAGGAGACGAATAATATTCATATGCGTAAAAAGAAAAATCCTGCTGTTGTTAGCTCATTGAAATGGAAGGAATATTATAAAGACAAAGAAAATAAGAAACAAGAACCATTACTGCAAAAAGAAGAAAGAAAAAGGAAGCGTGAAGAAAAAGCAAGAGAAGCTTCAGAAGTAAAAAGAAAAAAGCAGGAAGCCAAAGAGGAAAAACAACGTATTGCTAAAGAAGCCGAAAAAGCGAAAAATACCAAGTTTCGAAAAGTTTCGAAGAAAACTCAAAAAGACTGCATGCAAAAGTACAATAAAAAATAAAAAATAAGTGATATATACGTGCAATTAAAAACATACACATTATATTACATAATACGTATACGTTATTATTACTATTTATATTATATTTGTGTTATATTATATTTGTGTTAATTATAATATATATATATTAATTTGTGTATATCTGAATCATTCCATCATTCTCTTTCTCTCTCTCTCTCTCTCTCTCTCTCTCTCTCTCTCTCTCTCTCGTATGCGATAACTAAACACGTATGGCGATTAGTGGGACATACTAACCGTGACGATTATTAGGCAAACCGTTATGGCGGCATGGCGATAATTCGTACATTTGTGCTTTCTAACCTTTATGAAAGATTTTCTCAATTACGGCAGTAGGTATAAGAATTTTAGAGTGACGTTTTTATTCGTAACAAAAAAATGATTTAAAATAACTTAAAATAACAATCATTCATTTCTTAATCTGAGTGATATAAATTTGTAAAGTCAAGCGTTTTGATTAAAGTGACGATTAGTGGGCCAACCACCTTACCAAAAATCTGGAAACGGTCTAATATATCGGAAAGTATGCATTTTTGAGAAAAATGTGTTAGACGAAAGTGATAGGGTTTAATAAGATGTATATACCAGTCTTATAGGTTTGACCTTGGGCGGAACCATCAAGGTCAAGTTAATGTCACGTTGATTCTTTGGACATAAATTTTTTGACTCATTATTGGCGTGAATGGCTTTACAGGAGTTCATTTGAAAGGCTCCTCTAACATCGCTGCAAGTTTGATCAAAATCGGTGAAGAGCAGAGCGTAGCCTCTCCTTGTCAGTAGATTACGATAAATTAATCAGTAATTTTTGGAGACTAGTAAAATAGCAATTTAAAAAAATTGCATTACAATGCCTTACTGATGAGTCCAGTAGTGGAAGCCGGGATAAAACGCCAAAATTATGTGATATTCTTCGCAATATATAAGAAATTAAAAAAAAAGATTTAATTATTTACAGTACTTTTAGATTATTAGAGTTGCGTTTCAAGACCGATGATTATTCGAAGCGCAATTTTGGGGGGACTACGTATATTAGTAGAGTTGCGTTTCAAGACCGATTATTGTTCGGCGCGCAATGTTAGATGGACCACGTAGTTAATAATAAATTTGTGGCTCGTAGCCCTTTTTCCTAGTATTGTTAAATTTATTGAGCCTTATTAGCAACACATTTTAATTTAAAAAAATTATAAAAATAAAGTTTAATGTAAAAGCATTTAGTCTTTAGTCATCAAGTTGAAAAAGCTTTATTTAACTCATATTTTCATTTTGACATTATTCGTGATTAGGATTATGTGGCGACTCTCTTCTTGGGTACGTTCCGATTTCACTACCAGTGCTGAAAATCATAGCGCACGTAACGTATGAAACTATGCAGTATATACTGTATAGTTCCAACATTGGCAGTGAATATTGGAACGTCCCCATTATAGGCTATCCAGCTTTTGATCCCGGATTCCCGGGCACCACTGAGAATCTGATGTATTTAGTATTTACAACAAATTTAAAATATAAAATACTCAAAAAAGTATTTAAATACAAAATGCTCTCCAAAAAAGTATTTAAATACAAAATAGAAAATACTCTCCAAAAAAGTATTTAAATACAAAATACGAAATACAATTCGCGACAACTTCACTTCAAGTCGCGACTACTTTGCTACAACAACGCGCAAAGTGTTGCCGTAGTTTCAGTGGCGTAGCAAATCTATCGAAAGTGTATTTTCTTTTCGAAATGCCAAGAAGACAACTCACAGAAGGGCAGGCAGCTCAAATTGTTGCTCTGCTGCGTGAAGGATTTAATCAGCGTTATGTTGCAAGACGTTTGGATGTAAGTCAATCGACTGTTAATCGAGCTTGGAATCGTTTTCTGGACATTCGGAGTTTCACTAGACGAAGTGGTCAGGGTCGTCGACGTATTACTAACAGGAGAATGGACAGACAGATTGTTAGAACAGTTCTCAATAATCCTGCTATTGTCGCAACTCGAGTGGTTAACGAAATTTGTCAACAAAATCGCGTTAGTGATCCGACTATTCGGCGACGACTGCATGAAGCTGGTTTAAGAAGCAGAAATCGCGTACGTGTTCCAGCGCTAACACTAAATCATCGTCGTGATCGTCTAGAATATGCACAAACTCACGTACAGTGGACTGTACGACAATGGAGAAATGTTTTATTTACCGATATTTATGCTATATGGAAATGATCGTCGTATTAGAGTTTGGCGTCGACGTGGAGAGAGATATGAATCACGTCATATGGCAAGAATAAGAGCTTTCGGAGGTGGCTCTATTATGGTTTGGGCAGGAATTTCTGTTCTTCGTCGCACAGAACTTGTAATCGTACCACCACCAGTACTTAATTCTGCTCGTTACGTTGACGAAATTCTTCGTCCCCATGTATTGTCTCTACGAAACGATATGCGAGAAAACTTTATTCTCATGCAAGATAATGCTCGTGCGCATACTGCTCGATATACAACAGATTTCTTGCGAAGAAACAATATTACTGTGTTGAGACATCCACCATTAAGTCCGGACCTAAATCCAATCGAGCAAATATGGGACCTTCTTGACCGTCGACTGAGAGATCTTCACAATCAGCCTCAAAATTTACAGGAATTGGGCGATGCTCTCCATCTAATCTGGCGCGAAATTCCTCAAAACTTAATTCAGCGATTTATAAACATGCGGATACGCTGTCAAGAAGTAATTCAACAGAGAGGCGGTAACACACAATTTTAAAAAATGCATTTACACACACACACACACACACACACACACACACGCGAGGTGTAAGTCCGATCGTGTAACCTCCCCGTGGTACACCTCGGGTAATGCTAATACCGGCGGCAAATTAAAAAAAATT